AAACCAGGACCTCCAAGGCCTCAATTACAGGAGGCAGATGTCCACTCAATACAGGGAAGAAACAACAGCCAAAGTTGTCCAGGATCATCAGGTGTCTTCTCACAAAGGGGAGGACTGTCATTAGAGGTGTTTTAGCCAGGGCAGAGATGCCCATCTGTCAGGAACGCACAGGGCCTATAAAGGTCCATAAACACCTTTGTCTTCGAATGCTAAATTGTGTCTATGTTTGTTTTTGTTTTTTCAGGTAAGAGTCCTTATGTTAGATTCTCAAAAGGATAATAACCCTAAAAATGACTAAAAGTCACTATTATTGAGAAAATTCCAGTATTTCAAGTGAGATTTCACTAGATCTAAAAACTTCTTTCAAATCTGAAACTGTAACCCCCTATAGACCATATTCCCCTTAAGGAGTGTAGTAAAAACAGGATTCACAACATATTAACACAAATTACCTGTGGCCCCGAACTGACTAGGGGTGCCCTCATTATGGAAGTGAAATAAATCTGTAAGAATGTCTTTGGACTAAAATTTGGGAAAAAGGAAGATAATGCATAATGGGGCAAGGCCAAGTCAGACTAAGATGCTCCTCTCCTCTGTTCCCATGGAACCCAATGGCTACTCCTCACTCTACTGAGCGAGTTCTTTCCCATGTCTCAGAACTTAAAACACTGGGAATGCCCCACAACTCAATCCTCAGATCCACTCTTTGCTCACTCCTTAGATAACCTTAACCCGTACCATGGCTTTAAATACCCTCTATCAACTGAGAACACCCATATTTACAATTTCCAGTCTGAAAGTCTCTGAATTTCAGACTTGTATATCCTACTCTCTCTTCAAGACATCTATTTTCTTTGAGGTGAAATTCTCATAACATAAAATTAACCATTTTAAAGTAAAAAACTGAATGGCAATTAATACATTCATCATGTTCTGCAACCATCACCACCACCTAATTCTAAAACATTTTCATCACCTCAAAAGGAAATCCTGTATGTCTAGTATCCAGAATATATAAAATACTCTTACAATTCAGCAACAAAAAGACAACTCAAATTTAAAATAGGCAAAGGACTTCTTTCTTTACATAAAAGATACGAATGGCTAAAAAGCACATGAAAAGATGCCGAACATCGCTCGTTATTAGAGAAGTTCAAATCAAAACCATACCCTTTCTCCCAGCCCCAGGCAACCACTGATACGCTTTCTGTCTCTCTGGATTTACTTATTCTGGATATTTCATATAATAGAATCATACAACATATAAGCTTTTGTATCTGGCTTCTTTCACTTAGCATAATGTTTCTGAGGTTCACCCATACCGTAGCATGTACTGGCACTTCATTCCTTTTCATGGCTAATATTTCATTGTATTGATATACATTTTGTTTATCCATTCATGCACTGATAAACATGGCTTGTTTCTACCTTTTGACTATTGCGAATAGTGCTGCTATGAATGTGTGTACATTTGGTTTTTTTGAATACCAGTTTGCAATTCTTTTGGATATACGCCTAGGAATGGAATTGCTGGGACACACGGTAATTCTACGTCTAACTGCCACTTGTGGTTTTGATTTGAACTTCTCTAATAATGAGTGATGTTCAGCATCTTTTCATGTGCTTTTTGGCCATTTGTATCTTTTGTTTAAAGAAAGAAATCCTTTGCTTATTTTAAAATTGGGTTGTCTTTCTGTTGCTGAATTGAAAGAGTTCATTATATATTCTGGATACTAGACCCCAAATGTATAATTTGCAAGTACCTTCTTCCATTCTTTTCACTTTCTTGGTAACGTCCTTTGATACACAAAAGTTTAAATTTGATGAAGTCCAATTAGTCTATTTTTCTTTTTACTGCATGTATTTTGGTGTCATATCTAAGAATGTGGCGCCAACCAGGCATGGTGGCTCATGCCTGTAATCCCAGCACTTTGGGAGGCCAACGTGGGCGGATCACCTGAGGTCAGGAGTTCGAGACCAGCCTGGCCAACATGGCGAAACCCCGTCTCTACTAAAAAAAATTTAAAAATTAGCCAGGCATGGTGATGGGCGCCTGTAATTCCAGCTACTTGGGAGGCTGAGTGAGTAGAATTGCTTGAACCCCGCTGGCGGAGGTTGCAGTGAGCTGAGACCGTGCCACTGCACTCCAGCCTGGGCAACAGAGTAAGACTCTGTCTCAAAAAAACAAAAAACAAACAAGAATGTACTGCCAAATCTAAAGTCATGAAGATTTAGCTGTATTTTTTTCTAAAAGTTTAATGATATAGCTCTTATATTCAGGCCTTTGATCTAAATAAAAGTATAGGCCACTTGGAGTTCATTTCTGTATATGGTATGAAGAAAGACATCTATTCTTTTTTTCTTGAGACGGATCTTGCTCTGTCACCCAGACTGGAGCGCAGTGGCACGATCTCGGCTCACTGCAACCTCTGCCTTCCGGGTTCAAGCAATTCTCATGTCTTAGCCTCCTGAGTAGCTAGCTGGACAGGCATGTATCACCATGCTTAGCAAATTTTTGTATTTTTTAATAGAGACAGGATTTCACTATGTTGGCCATGCTGGTCTCGAACTCCTGACCTCAAGTGATCCGCCTGCTTCGGCCTCCCAAAGTGCTGGGATTACAGGTGTGAGCCACCGTGCCCGGCCTAGACATCTATTCTTGAATGTCTATCAGGCCTCTCAAACCCAAACTTTTAGTATTCCCCTACCAAACCTGCTCTTCCCAGTGTTCCCTATCTCAGCAAATGCTCGCGTTAAAAATCTTGAAGTCGGCTGGGTGTGGTGGCTCAGAGCCTGTTCTAGCACTTTGGGAGACTGAGACAGGAGGATTGCTTGAAGCCAGGAGTTCAAGACCAACCTGATCAACATAGGTTTTTAAAATCTTGAAGTCACCTTGAGTTCTCTTTTTCTTTTACAATCTACCTCCAAACCATTAGCAAATCCTGTGGGCTTCACCTTCAAACCATATCTCAAATTTACCACCTCCTCCTCTACTAATCTGGATTATTCCAACAGCCTTTTAACTGGTCTTCCGGCTTTCACCTTTCACCCCACAATCTAACGAGCAGCCACTGATCCTGTTAAAATTTAAGTCTCTGCTCTAAACCCTTCAATGACTTCCTATTTCACTCAGAATAAAAACCATAGTGCCTTCCAAGACCTACAAGGTCCTACCTAAAGAATTTGCCCCTATCATACACACACCTTTCTCACTTCTCTCTCAGTCCCTCTCCCTGGACTCCTGGCTGCCCTGTCTTTGCCTTCTTTGGAATGCTGCTGCCCAAGGTATCTCCATAGCTGGCCCCTTCACCTGGTCTTTGCTCAAATTCACCTTCATAGTGAGGCCTTCTCTAATCACTGTATTAAAAATAGCAATTGTGCATCCCTTGATACTACTTATTCCCCTACCCTCTAACCTTTATTTTTCTCCACAGTATTTATCATCATCCGACACACTATGATTTCACTTGTTTATTCCCCCCCCCATTAGAATGTAATCTTCATGAGAGCAAGGACTTCGATTTGTTCATCTGTAACCCCCACCGCTCACAACAAGTAGACCTTCAATAATTAAACTAATTAATAAATAATATACATTATAATCGCCCGTTGCTGTACCTGTTCCCTTAATGGACTGAGAGCTTTCTGCAAGCAGTGACACCCTTATTCACCTGTGAACTCCCAGCACCTAACATTTGCGCTCGGCACATAGGCATTGATTTTAAATGAATGAACCAACAAGACAGGCCTATGAACCATGTCAGCCTTTCAAACACAGTCCCTATGCTATCATTCCCTAAATATAAGTCAGTGTGTGCGGGTTATCCGAAAGAAGAGGTTCCAATACCAATTCCCACGCCCTCACGCGTACACCCTCTGTTATCCCTACAATAACCAAGTGAGAAAATGAGTAACCGTGACAGCCATAAAATGAACCCTGAACCGTGCAATGACAAGTCCGAAGGAGAGAGCAGTTGTGACAAGATAAAAGAAGGTAGCGGGACTCAAAACAGAAACACTGTCCCGGGGGTGGTGGCAAGGAGACGGAAGGGCCCCAATGGCCACAACCACAGAGTCCTGCTCTCTTTTGACAGCTAAGGAAACTAACGCCCAAAGAGGAAAGCGACTCGCCCGAGGTCACACAGCAAGTGAGCCACGGCCAGAACCCACAGCATCCCGCGTCCGCGCGCCGCCCCAGCTCCCTCGTGTTTGGGGTGGTGCCCTGCGCGCAGAGCCCCCACCAGCGCACGTGTTCCGAGGTCCCCGGACGCCCGTCCGCCCATGGCTTGGGGCCGGCTCCCCATCTCGGTCCAAAGCTGGGGTCGACGGCAGTGCGCTGCGCCCCCCTCCTGCACCCCTCTCAGCCAGCCCAGGAGCCCGCCCGCGGCCGGCGGCTGGCAGCGTTCACCGCGGAGGTGGGCCTGGGCCGTCCGCTCCATGCCTGCCGCTTACCTGGCCGGGTCCCGCGGGAACCTGAAGAAGGCCAAGTCGGACTGCGTGCTCTTCCGCGTGCAGTTGGGGGCAGCGCAGAAGTTCGGCATCGTCGCCCGCCCGCCGGCCGGCCCAGCCCTCCCCTCCCCGCCTCCTCAGGGCAGTCCGCCCGCCCGTCGGGGCCGAGGAGGGGAGCCAGGCCGGCCGGCCGGCTCGGCAGGGCCGACGCGCGGGGGAGGGGCGGGCGGGCGAGAAGCCGCGAGGGCCAGGAGGGGTGCCGCGGTCCGAGGCCGGGCTGGGGACGCGGCTCCACAGTGCTGTGAGCGGCCGGGAGGATTTACCGCCGCCGCCGCCGCTGGTGCACCTCCCGCCCGCCCGAGACGCTGCCGCCTCCTTCCCACAATGCACCCTGACGCCCGGGGGTGCCCTCTCTTCCCTCAGCCTTCCTCCCCCGCCCCTCCTTTCCGCCTTCTCCGCCGGCGGGCACGCGCAAGGAAGCGCGCCTGCCGGGGTGTGGCAAGGCGGAGGCGGGACCTGGCGCGCGCTGCCGCAGTGCGACTGCGCACAGTCTAATCCGCGGAGGGAAGAGAATTGCGCATGCGCGCCTGTCTCCCGGGACGCTAGAGCAGGCGATACCCTGGCTGCTCCGGTAGGTTTGGCGTGCGCGGGTTTCTGCAGATCTAGGGCGAGCTTGCACGTTACATCACCGATGCATCTCTTCTTGCTTGCTTAATTTGCCAACACTTAGGCCTTTCTTGCAGAATTCGTCATATACTCCTTAAGGGCCGCGGAATCGGAGCAACCTTGTTGACTGATTGGCAAACTCTCGGCAGATGTGCGTGCACTGGTTGGATGCAGTGGTTGTAGGCGATTTAATTTTTCCCAGCTTTGCAGCGACTGTTGGCCCTGTTAGCGTCCCAGAACGGATCTCCCCAGCCTCCACTGGAAGCTGAGGGACAAAAATTCATAAAAGCAATTACTCTTTCCCGGCGAGGCTTCTAGAAGAGCAAGAACAGCGATATAATTACACCTGCAGGCCTATAAAGATTGATCTGTCCGTTTTTCCCTTACAGTCGTGGCCTGTTAGCGTTCCTGTGTTTTTCAGTGCCAGAATGAGTGACCGCTATTTAGAACAAAGGATCAGTATCAAATTTTGCGTGAAATTGAACAAGTCTGCAAGTGAGACCCACCATCTTTTAAAAGAAGCTTATGGGGAAGAAGTCATGTCAAGGGCCAGAGTTTTTGACTGGCACAAAAGGTTTAAAGAAGGACGGGAAGATGTTCGAGATGATGCCAGAAGTGGGCGTCCGGTCACCCACCGAACAGATGACAATATCCAGAAGGTCAAGGACTTGGTTTGTTCAAACAGGCAGTTAACCGTGAGGATGATGGCCGAAGAGTTAAATTTAGACAAAGAAACTGTTAGGCTCATTTTGAAAGAAAACTTGAACATGAGGAAGGTTTCTGCAAAAGTTATTTCGGGTGTTTTGAAGGGTGAGCCTAAACCACGAAAACTTGACTTTCAGTCCAATCTTTCAAAGGAAACTAGGAAAAAAAGCTCATGTTTGAGGAAAAAGGTAACAGGTTCTGAAACATGGAGTTATCTCCAGGGTGAGGCTGATGGGGAAATGCCCCTGTCCGTATCCCATCCCAGAGTCCACTACCCTGCCAGCCAGCTTCTGCAGGCGTCATCTTCAACAAGCCTTCCCCCCAGGGTAGCTGAGGATTGGTTCACCCCATGGTGAGAGGAATGTGAGTTAGCTGAACCAGAACTAGGGTGCTGCCTCACTGTTAGGCACCTTCTTTGGCTGCTCACCTATTTTTCAGTCTTCACTACTCCTCCCTATGTACCATGGCCCTCCTCATTACTCTTTGCTGGACTATTGGACCATTTTCCTTGCTGTTCTTCATAACTGAAAAACTTCTGGCTGTTCCCTTCTGGTATTTGCTTGTTCTTGATTTCTTTTGCTCAACAAGTTTGGATTTCTTCTCTGCCCAGACCTTAGCTGTTGTGGCTGTCCTGTTCCTTTGTTCTCAACATTCTGCCTCAGAGGATCATGCCAGTGAGAAGAGAGGAACAGGAGCTCCTGGAATCTGTATCTCTGTGCCCAGGGAGGCATGCTCTTCTGGGAGGACCCCAAAAGAAGGCTTACAGTTTCAGCCTGCTTCGCAGTCAGGGCCTGAGGTATGGTACATAATGCAGTGGCATGCTGGTGTTACTGAACAGTGCTGGGCCTAGGGGCTGATCTGGTCCGGATGACTCAGTGGGCGCCCCTTAGGAATCAGGGGTTGGCCACCAATACTGATCTTCTCACAGGCCTACATCTCACAGAAGAGCTGGGTTTGTTTCATTCTAGTCCTATTCTTTGGATCTCCACTCATTTGGGTATCTCCTCTGTTGGAAGATGAGTATCTGGTCCTAGAAAATAGAAACCCAGGGACCCAGCCCTAGGCCGTGATGTGTGGGGAGGAAGACCAGGTGGCTCTCTAGTCCCTGAATTAAGGGAATCTGCTGCCTACGTGTGGATTCCCACACAGCAGCCTGTTTTTAGTAACTAATGCCTATAGTTTTGAGAACTTGCTGTTTTTAGAACACTGCTGGGCATTGACAATGTGAAAGTTATGAACAAGATCTCCAAGGGCTGATGAGCTTCATGGATGAGATGGTTCTTGAACTGGACCCATGAGGATGGGTGAGACGGGGCTGTGACATTACGGAAAGCTTCCAGGGCAGGTGGAACAGCATGAGGCTTCCAACCTGCATCGGTAGAAAATGACACTGGCCAGATGCAGTGAATCACGCCTGTAATCCCAGCACTTTGGGAGGCTGAGGCAGGCAGATCACAAGGTCAAGAGATCGAGACCATCCTGGCCAACATGGTGAAACCCCGTCTCTACTAAAAATATAAAAATTAGCTGGGTGTGGTGGTGCGTGCCTGTAGTCCCACCTACTCGGGAGGCTGAGGCAGGAGAATCGCTTGAACCCGGAAGGCAGAGGTTGCAGTGAGCCAAGATTGTGCCACTGCACTCCAACCTGGTGACATAGCTAGACTGTCTCAAAAAAAAAAGAAAAAAGGAAAAATGATGACACTATTGGCTAAAATAACAAAGTTCAAAGAGGAAGATAATGGTGTTGCAGCAGATGAACAATTTGGGATAATTTGCTTCCTCTCCTATACCTCCAACTCTATGCCAGTTGTTATTAAATTGCTTCCCCTGAGTCTGTGAATAGGTTTGTAACAACTAATTTGATATGTGATTTTCCATTTGGACTCCGACAAGCAGTTTCTGCAAATTCAAACTCTGTGTCTTCTCTTCCTGCCTCTGCCAGATTTATGGAATGCAACTTTTCCCAAGTGGGTTCCAAGTAATACCACATAGACTAGAAACATTCAGGGGGCAGGGGTTTGGTAATAGCGTTTCAGAGAATTGGCCAGTCTCTGTTTTACTCAAGGATTTTTACATATAACAGCTCCTCTTAGACAATATTGCTTAATAGTAGAGGCACAACACTCATTCATCACAGTTACTTTTAGTGCTGTTCTTTCACTTTCTCTACTCACCTCCAAAAATTACAAGTTCCTCATTAACACCTGTTTTTGTTTTGTTTTGTTTTTTGAGACGGAGTCTTGCTCTGCTGCCCAGGCTGGAGTGCAGTGGCACGATCTTGGCTCACTACAACCTCTGCGTCCCGGGTTCAAGTGTTTCTCCTGCCTCAGCCTCCCGAGTAGCTGGGATTACAGGTGCACGCTGCTACACCCGGCTATTTTTTTGTATTTTTAGTAGAGGCGGAGTTTCACCATGTTGGCCAGGCTGGTCTCGAACTTCTGACCTCAGGTGATCCACCTGCCTCGGCCTCCCAAAGTGCTAGGATTACAGGCGTGAGCTACTGCGCTGGATCAACACCTGTTAGTTTTGAGGCATTTTGAAAGCTAGACCTTGTCCCATGAAGACGAGATACTGTGTAAGAAAACTCTTAAACCAAGCAACAGCTTATAGATCTCCAGCTCCTTAACAGTTTCTAGACGTTCCATTTCAGGACCATTAAGTCTTCCTACATCAGATGCAGCTCTAGGTTGCCCACAAGCACTTGGCACCAGGGACACTGCACTTTAGGAACAAAGTCCCCACCACTAGTTCTTGCAGCTTTGTTGCTGAACCTCATATTAATCCTTGCTGAGGCCCACCCAGTGGTAATTGTTACAGATTTATATGCTCCTGGACCCAGGCCAGGATCCTACAACCATACCTACAGGAGTTGTTTCTAACCTGTTATAAAACAGAGGTCCTGAGACAACTTACTTCTGGATTTTATTCCAGTCCTATGAACACGGCTGGTGTGACTGTGCCAATGATGCTGGACCAAGACCTATGGTGGAGTGTAGAGTACCAGAAGCTATGGTTTAGACACAGCAGCCAGAAGCAGGTAATTAGGAGTGTGAATTCAAATGGTTCCTGTTGGCTATAATGAAAAGGACTTATCCAGAGTAAAACATTCACATTTGGCTGCTCAGAATCTCTAAACCCAAGGGTAGAGCATGATCTAGGCATCCCCAAATAGGAAAGTTCTTATATGAGTACTTCTAATGTGCCCACCCACCAAATCTATTTTATTACTGATCCACATTTTGCCCTGGCCTGCACCTTGCTGCCTAGGCCTCTTGAGCTCCTGGTCCGGTAGTCTCACACATCCAGCTATGTGTCTGTCACACCCCAGACTCTTGTCCTTGGCTGTTTTCAGACACCTCTCAGTTTATTCTCCACCATTTTGCTCTTACTCCTCTCTTTCCTTGTTGCTTTGTTTTCTGGTCCTGGGTCACATCTTCAGTAGCTGCTTTTGGTCACTTTGGTGTGCTGATCCTTGAATTGACTTTTGGGTCATGGTTTTCCACTTAACTTACAACTCTTCTCTCTGATTTTTTGGATCCTTCTTTCAGCTCCCTGTGTCAGCTGCTGAGTAAGGAAATTTGTCTGCTCCAGCCCTGGCCCCGGGTTGCCTTCCTGTCTTCAAGAAGCAGGGTGGGGTGACATGGGGGAATTATTTATTTATTTTGTTTTTTCTAAGGGACATAGGCACCTTAGCCACCCTCAGTTGCACTCCCCAGTGGCATCCAGTGTCACCAGTTTCTCAAGGAGGCAATATGGTTACCTCTAAAGTAGCAAGAGTCATGAAACTTTTTCAGAGCTATAACATCCAAAGCCCATTCTCCTAGCAGCTGTATTTTCCCTGGCAGGAGAAGCTCCACCTAACCACAGGAGATCAAGCCTGGCTTTCTGTGGGATGTCAGTAGGAGAGCTGGCCATCTGCAAGCTTTCTGAAGCTTAACACCATCGGTCAATGACTCTGTTCGGCTTTCAGGTTGATCTTTATCCCCGCCCCCACGCTCATTCTAATTCAAAGTCCACAAGGAATGTTTTATGCCACAGTTGAGAGTCTAAGAGGAATATATGCCTTCCGGGGCAGATCATCCTAACACCGATTTTATGCAATTCTCCCCTTCCATCACCCCACCCTACCTTGCTTCATTTGCCCCACTAGTAATGATCAAAAAGAGAAAGAATAAAATGTTCACCAAATCTGTGACTTAGAAAAACTTGTGGAGGGTTCTGCTATCTTCTGAATTCTGATCCTCACTGAGTCCTCATTGAAGTGTTATCATTTGGGGAAGAATGTTTACCTGGGGCCTCCTTCCCAGAACCTTTTTTTCAGATCAATTTTTTCGTCAAAGTCTAGACTTGCCTTTGGAAATGCCTGGATAAATCTGGATGCTAAATGACTTGAGGACACCTGATAAAGGAATGGGGTACTATTGGGAAATTGTCTGTCATTGCATTACAAATGTTGCTCAGCCTCCCTGCTATTTGCAGACATCATCACCAGCGAGTTTCGCTGCGCTCTTTGGGATTGGGTCTCAGCAGGGTCCCATGTGACTCAATAAGAGCCTACCTTTGCTGCTAAACTGTGTATGTTACCCTGCATTCTCCAATTGCTTCTTCAATCAGCCCACCCAGATTTTACTAAGCGTTTATATCTTTTCTGAGGTAACCATCATGTATTTATGTTCTAGAGTGTCTCCCTTATCAGATCCTTGCAAATACTGTCCTAGTGTATCACCCCTTTCCCAGTATGAATATCTGGAAACAAAAAATCTATAGTGGGGAGCTCCAGTGGGTCCCCTCCAAGGACTCACTTGGGCATAGTCCAGTGGTCAACAGACTTGTGTAAAGGAGTCTTTATGGGCCATATGGTCTCTTTTGCCACTAAACATTTTAGTGCAAAAGCAGACATAGTTAATACAGAAACAGTTGAGGACAGCTGTGTTCCAATAAAACTTTATAAGTAGATACTGGAATTTGAATGTTATATAGTTTTTACAAAATACTATTCTGATTTTTTTAAACCATTGAAAAATGTTAAAAAGAGGCCGGACACGGTGGCTCAGACCTGTAATTCCAGCACTTTGGGAGGCCGAGGTGGGTGGATCACCTGAGGTCAGGAGTTCGAGACCAGTGTGGCTAACATGGTGAAACCTCGTCTCTACTAAAAATATAAAAATTAGCCAGGCGTGGTGGTGTGTGTCTGTAATCCCAGCTACCCGAGAGGCTGAGGCAGGAGAATCGCTTGAACCCGGGAGGCAGAGGCTGCAGTGATCCAAGATCTCACCACTGTACTTTAGCCTGGGCAACAAAGCAAGACTCCATCTCAAAAAGAAAAAAAAGACGTTCTTAGCTTTTAGGCCATAGAAAAGCAGATGGCAGGATAGATTTGGCCCATGGACTATAGTTTGATATAACCCCCAGTCTAGTGTATATAGTGTGTATATAAAAATGACAGATGATTATTTTCTGTCAATAACATTATTAATGCCACATTGATCTGGCAGTATCTGGCAATTTATTATGTAGAAATTGTGGGCCAGCCACGATGGCTCACGTCTGTAATC